TAACTATTTATTACTATTAAATAAATCGAAGATCTCCAGAGGTTAATATATATATTTTTGCTCTGGAGATTTTTAACAACGACGGAGTTTCTCCGGAGGTCTCCGCCCAAAGATTTGCAAAGATCTTTGCCAAAAAAATTTCCTGATGTAATTACTATCTATTAGTTATTTTACATATCACTAGACTATATCAGATTTTATCCTCATATTGGCTTGTTGCTATTGACTAATGGAATTCCGATGAATCAAGGCTAATGTGCACATATTCCGTTAGTATCATTATTATATAAAAGTGATGTTTTATTTTTTAACCGGGGATATTTAAGGGGAAGTGAAAGAGGAACTTGGGAGTAGTACCTATTAGGCAAATAGAACTTTATAGAAGAAGCCTTCTAATCCAAATTGGAGTTGAGACCACTTGTAGGAAAAGATACCAGGTACCACAGGGAGATGATTACCAAACCATCTTGCTCTAAACCGGATGCCTTCAATACCTTTTTAGTTTTTAACTTCTGGCGATCATCGTGACACTAACCGGACAATCGTCATACCATGACATCTTTTCTGAAGATCACAATCTTAATGCCTATCGGATCAGCATGTGAATTGGCTTCTTATAAAAAACGATGCTTAGCAGATCATGGCGCCAGATACCATATTAATTCTATTCAACTGCTTTCACCTGAAGTTGAACTAGTATCTTGTGATCTGAATCTGGAAGCACTGATCACTAGCTATAGACCCACAGGTTCCTATATATAAATTTATATTTTATAAATAGATTTATAAAAATAGAAATCTTGTTATTAATTTTAAATTATCTAATCTATTAATTTAATTTTGTTATAGGACATCTTTTAAAAAAATATATTATTATTTAATAAGTTATATTTTTATATTATATTTTTAATTTATACAGTTATAAAACCAAAAGAATTTAATATACAGTATATATATATATTAATAAATACTTTGAAAATTATAATTCTTAATTGATATAAACTATTAAATTCAAAAACCTAAGATTAAATAAAACATGTTTTTAATTTTTTTTAATAAATATTTTAAAAAAATTCAATTGGTTTAAGTTATCAAATTTAAAGATATAAATATTAAACAAGATACAATTTTAATATATAAATAATATTAAACTTTAATTATAATTATATAATATATTAATATCCATATTGATAATTTTTTTCAAATTAATTTTATTTTTTAATAATATATTATAATATAGAGTCTATCATATTGAAAAAAGATATAGGTAGATTAATGGATTAATAGTATAATAGGTAGTATTCCCTGATTTTCAAATGCATATCCTTAGTTCAATATTTATAGAAGGTAAAATATATAAATTTATCTTCATTTGTAGATTTCATCGGGTTTCTACAAATATTGTACTTAAATATCTGACTCTTGATCAAATTCAGTTAGGCTGTATAAAGATGGAACCTCTAATATTTTTGATAATCATAAGTTGAAAACAGGTTGAAATAAGAAAGGTTGTATAAGAAAAGATTTCTAATCTAACTCTAATAAAAATCTCATCATACTTCATATTATTAGAAAGTAAATCTACTTGAAAGAAATTATTGATATGAATATCACTTTTGAATAGACTATAGTTAGTCAAAATAAAAGAATTCTGCTATAAAAGTTACATCTTGCTTGACATTTGTACCTCTAGATTTGACAGCCAAAGCCAATCGATTTTTCTCTTTTGGAGTATCTACTAGGAATAATAGGAGTTGCATCACACTTGGCATTTATGTTCCTAGATTTGGTAATATATATCAATCAAGAAAAGTAAGCTCTTGAAGCATTTACTAGGAAGTATAGGAATTCTAATACTTTTTAATTTTAAAGGCTAGTGAGCTGAAGATATAATATAAAAGATATCTTATCAAATAATAATACAAACCATAAGAAAAAGAACTTTCTAATTTTGAACTATCCAAGTGTACTATCTCCTCAAAGATTTAAGATAAAAAGTATCAAGGTATCCAATTGTTTATTCACCTTTGTAAGGTAGATCTGCCCTTTGACAACAATGGATTAATAGGTTAGATGGTTTTAAAAAACTAATAGTAGGATTTTATCTTCTAATTAATCCTACCATAATATAAAAATAGTTTATTCTTGAAGTATAAGTTTATAAGTTAAGATTAAGAAGTAAAGTAAATTAGTATTAGCTATAGTATAGTATTATAGAAGATATATATGTATATATAGGTTCTTATTAAAGTTAGATCAAAAATCTTTCCTATACAACTTTTTTTGTTATTATTTATTTTTAGTTTATAATTATTAGAAAAATTAAAGATTTATTTTCATATAGCCTAATTAAATTTTAATTTTAATTTAAATATTTAGATATAATATCTATAGAAAAACTAATAAATTCATAAATAGAAAATAAATTTTTATATGTTATGACTTCTGTAAATATTAAATTAGAAATATGTATTTGAAGATCTGAGAATATTATCTATTATATTATTAATATACTAATTTTTAATTTTAATAATATTATTATTTCTTAAATTATATTGTTAACAAATTTACCTACAATTTGAATTTATTAATAAAGTTACTTTATATCTTCTGATGCATATTACTCTTTAATTATATATTTTTTCACTATGTATTTTAGTTTATTTAAATCTTTAAAACAAGATTAATCTTTTTTCTTAATAATCAAAGTACAAATAATATAATAATATTTTTCTTAAAAATATATCACAAAATAAGTATCAAATTTGTTAAAAATTGACCTATAGATTAAGGAATAATATAATAAAAAATTTTTATAAATATTGTTTTGTTTTATTAAATTTTTATAAAATTATAAATAAAAATAAAAATTTAAAAAAAGTTTAAAGACTTTTGTATTAAATTATATTTTATACAGTAAATTAAAAAATATTGTTATAATAAAAATTTTTTTATTTATTTATAAAGTAATTTATAAATTAATAAATAAACTTTAATAAATTTTTTCAAAAGCAAGTGTGCCACACCATATATATATATGTATTTTCATATTATAAATATTTTTTATAAACATATTTTATTAATTAACTAATAAAATTAAGAATAATAATTTTACTATTTAAAATTAACAATAAAATTTATAATAAAATTTATAAATAACTTTATGGTTTTTATTTACTTATAATATTCAAATAATTTTATATTGATTATTATTAAGCATATAAGCTTTTAAATTAATAATAATATACAGTAGTTAAAATCGAAGAATTTTATTATCAATTAATATACAGTATATATTGCATATCAATAAAAATTATAATTAATGCAATTCTACTAGAAACCCATATTTCAGATTTAACATGATTGTGTTTCGGGTTATTCTTCAATGTGTTTCAGATTTAAACCAAGTAGTATATTATCTATAATTCTCGTTGTCCCAACGTATAGTGCGCCTGATAATATAGCTCCCTTTTCATCAATTTTGTCAAGCTCTTGCAGTGTGTCAGGGTCTGCCAATGAGAAGTAATCCAATTTTACAGAAAAACCAAGTTTCTGACTTTCTACATCTTTGGTGACACGATCAACAAGTTCATAAGCAGGACTGAGAAGGCTCTGACGATCTCTTATTTTATTTTCGAAAGTTTTTTTTGTCTCATTTAAACTTTCATATAAAGTAATAGCAACTTTCCGCATTTCAGGCGTAAGATATTTATTACGGGAACTCATAGCTAACCCATCTTTCTCTCTTACGGTAGTTCCAACATGCATTTCTATTGGAAAGTGCAAGTCTCTAATCAAATTTTTAATAACTATGCACTGTTGAATGTCTTTCTGACCAAAGAATACATGATCGGGTTGAACAATGTTGAATAGTTTCGTAACCACCGTCGCAACGCCACGAAAGAATGTTGGACGTGTTTGACCTTCCATCTTATTACGAAGAAATCACAAGCATTATTTTATGAAAATTACAAGAATTACATTATAAAATTTGCTGCTCACCTGGTGGGATTTGCTTTTTACCTCCACAAAAGTTCCTTGTTGTTTTTCAACATCCAGTGGAATTCCTGCCGGATAAATTTCATTTACTTCTGGATTAAGCACAGCATCGACACAGCCAACGGAAGCTAATTTAACAAGATCATCTGACAATGTACGAGGATACTTTTCGAGATCTTCATGAGGTGCAAATTGCGAGGGATTTACAAATATGGAAACGACGACGGCCTGACAATGTTGACTGGCTTGCTTCACTTGAAGAGAATTTAAGTTTAATGAGGGTATTATTTCTTAATAATGCAATTCCCAATTTTGTTGTTTCATTCACCTAGGCTCAAGTGTCCTTCGTGTAAGCATCCCATGGTCGGAACAAACCCAACGAATTTTCCTTCAGAACCTACTTTCCGTCGCCAATTTCTGAATGAAGAAATATTTTTAAAAATTTTTATGTTCTTCTGAACATCGATATTTTCGATCAACTTCTCTTCTAGCCAATTAATTCAATTTATTCAATAAACTGAAACATGCATGAACATCTTGCGAACAATTTTTTTTTTTTTTTTTTTGTAAAATTTACCCTGAGAATCAACGAATACACGTGAACCATCATCTGATAATGCCGACCCATGTTCGAAAGTCAAAAGGTTTGCCATTACTTTTGACCTTCGGATAAAATGAAAGTTAGACGATATGCAAATACGTAACCGTTTTATGAACTTAGAATGTCTAACTTGTTGTACTAGCTCGGCTAGTGACACTAAAGATTTGATTAAACCCCTGATCCCCTGCGTAAAAAGATTAAGTTCAACCAATGGAACTTGAAATGACCGTTTCACAAACTGCTCACGACTTTTCGCATATAAATGCAGAAAGTCCAAGTATTGGGATATTTGATGTCCAGCATTTAGGGTACAGGGTTAACAAAACTGGGCAACGCTATGCTAAGTCCATGCGACACAAGTCAATACCAAAAAAGTTCATGGGTCAAATTATCCTCGACGCGACATACATAAATTATAAAAATGACCAAACACTTCTTAATACCCTGAAACCAGTTCAGTTTTTCTGGTGAAAAAATAACTACTTTTCTTCCACCCCTTTTTTTTTTATTTCGCTTTGCTTGCCAACTTTTTTTTTTGCCGTGCCGTGCCTCGAAGGTTACTACGTCTGGTTATTACCTGTTGGTGACTTACAAATTTCGACATTCTAGCATTTTATTTGTTTCATCTTGACACATCATGCCGTCCAAAACTTCGAAATACGTATACCACGGTCACAGCAAAATAATTTCTGGTGTAATTGCAGTTTTAGAAACTACCAATAAACCACTTTCTTTGCAAGAGTTGGTTGATGAAATGACTAGGCGGCAATTAGTGGTTTTTCAGTACGTACTGTTTTTGCGAACAAATGTTGGAATTAGCAGGATTTTTTCTCTTTAGCGATACTATACTACATTCCTAACCATTATATTTTATAATAATAGCGGCGCAACACCAAGAAACACTGTCAGTGGTGAAATCAGCAAGCTTCTCAATGCAGTAGGTCCAAACAATGCGCCCATCCTGAAAGTTAACCAGGGTAAACTTACCAAATTCTTTTTGAGGCCGCGTAACCAACAAGATGCACTGTATGTATATAAAGTCGATCTGTGCATTTAATTATAGTAATATAAATATTGATTTGTAGTGCTTTTTTATTTTACTTTTAGAAGACAGGTGTCGAGTGGGAAAATCCAAAAACGACACTCTACTCGTTCCACACGTAATAATCATCATTCTCAAACGATGGACATGACCTCCTCAGAGACCGAAGAGCGCGTTCATGAGCAAAAGAAACGTCGCCAGATGGAAGATCTCAAGTATGTCAAGTAATTATTGATTGTCTAAATTGATTCAAGATCAACTGATCTAACTCAACAAATTCATACAGGGCTGCTTATCTACTTTCCTGTCTCTCGGCACATTCGTTCTGGCTAAACTTTAAGAATGAACCTGAAAAGGATTTTAAATATTTCTTAGAAGCCCATGTTGGCGAGACAACTTTGATTTCGAGTGGTGTTACCGAAAACGATGTTGACCTTAAGAATGTGTCGATAGAAATAGATTCATGTATGACAAAATACTGACCGATCCAGAGATATCCACGACCGGATGCTAAATTTTATTTCTTACTCTGAAGATGACGCCTATGATTAGGATACCATACCGAAAATAAAGCAAATAATCAAGTAGTTTTTACAGCTTTCTAATAGACTTTTAATACAATTATCTAGTAGTTTTCTATCTTAATTGTAGATATTAATTCTCTTCGCATTCACATAACCCAGCTCCAATAACGCGAGACATAATAAGCCGGGATTACCTTCCTTTTCCTTCATAACTGTATATTTTTTTTTTTTGTCTTGGCTTTCTTTATAAAATAATTTCTTAATTTCTTTCAATTTATACCTTTAATAACTCTATCGTTTAATTAGAGCTTTGGGCTGAAGGACAATCACGTATAGAGAAAAATAGATCCATATAAATATATAAACTCTAGACGAGAAAAATATCAAAAGTATTAAGTATATTAAATGTTTGTTTCTTTATTTATTCCTGAAGGATTTCCTATGTCATGAGAGCTATTTACTCCATTTGATATAACGATATCAGCATCCTCAATATTAATTTCATTTACTAGTACATTGTTACCACTTTGAGAAATTCTATGATCTTCTTCGATCGACATTACTTCTTGAGTTGATGTTTGCACATCCTTCGTTTTGGCTTGAGTCTGCGGTTGCGCGTTTGATGTTTGCTGAGGTGATTCCGTTGATTCATATGTAACTTTCGCTGATATCGATATGTTGTCGTTCGCGACACGATTCATTTTCAAATGCTCCATTATCGAACGCGTTAACGAAGAATTGCCGTGTCCTCGACCTTTAGGCTTAATTGGACGTGGCGTGCGCGAGAATTTGTGATTTTGTTGTGTGGAAAGGGAAGAGAACATCTGCTTTCCATCAACCACTGAATTAGGAACTAATTGGACATTTTTCGTTGATACGAGTGTGTGACTTCCAGAAGGCAATTTTGTTGCGTTGTTTATTATCTCATTACTTGGGTTTCGGATAATCGTTGTCACAGGTGGAGGCGGAGGAAACTGAAATTAAAAAAAATTAATTTTTTTTTAACCCGAAATCTGGTGTACTACTATCATTTTTCAATTTACAACTTTAATTCACCTGACGGTTGGGTTGATTAAAATGAACAGCTGCCCATGGTGGATAGTCTCTTTCAAGCTGAATTATTTTAGCTTCTAGTATTTTAATTCTTTCATAAACATCAAGAGGTACGGGCGCAACTTGAAAATTATAATTATGCGTTAAAACCTTTCGCTTCGACGATAAAACTTGTACATCTCGTTTAAATCATAATGATAGTTACTAATATTTATAGCCAAATGTTTTTCTATGTTTTGCAATCTTTCTTCAACACCGGAAGGCAGCTCGATCAAGTGCCTCTTTACTCGGTCATTCCTTTGGCTTGAAGAAAATGTTGAACGAGCTAAAGGACCATCATCATTATTTACTACATCAAATTTCATTTGAATGTTTCGGTTGATCTCCGCTGCGTCTGATCGAGCGCATGATAAAACGTCTGAAATGTACAAATGATCTATTGGGGACCATGTAAATTATTTGGGTGGTAACAAGTTACTATTACCTTCAGGACTATCATAATTATTAGATTTCTTCAAAAATTCTGCTCGATTACTATCATTTATTTCCGATTTCTTAAGTCGGACAAATGTATCGATTCTCTGTTCGATCTGAATGACGCGTATTATTATAATATGTTCACAACTTATATATAATATATACAAATTTTTAGAAAGGTCTTTATGTACCTCTAAATTTGTTGCTTTGATCTGGACTATCTGTGGGCTAATCAATTTCTGAATTTTCTTGGCTGGGCTTTCGTCATCTGTTTGATAAAACATCGCGGTCAAAGTCTCAGGCAATCAAAATAAATAAAAATATATAACTTTACACAAACATGAAGATTCATCATCTGGTCCCTTTTTTCTTTTTGTGGATGGTGACAAATTATTGAGTTTGTTTCTTGATCTCCAAGACTTAAATCGAAGTTCATTGTTATTCGCGAATTAACAATATATAGTAAAATTTAATTGGGAGAAATAATAATTTACTGTCAATTCCTGTGATAACCATTCAATGTGCGTCGGTAATTGTTTTTCGCAACTAGACGAAAAGACGATTAATTCCAGTTTGAATGTTTGATTGGTTTCTAACATTCCGATCTAGGACCATTTTATTCATAAATACGAGTCGAAAATTCTCAATATGCTCTTTCAAAAAACTGGTCAGTTACTTTTGAAAAGAATTCGACCAGGATTTCATGCCAATCTTTTGATTCTTGTTGAGATTTTTCAACTTGAGATTGCGAATCCAACTCGGCCATTCCTCAGTATGTAAACATGAAAGAAATAGAGTTAGGTAAAAATTTTGTTATCAACCAATCAATTTTTTCATCATTGTTGAGAAAAGGTTAAGTATAATTGGCTATCACTATTATTGAACATCTCATTAGACATTGACACGTCTTTTTCTTGGTTCAAAGACATGTTATTAGATATTCATGGCCTCAGATATTAGTTAAAATTTATGTTACTTTTTGCTTTCAAAGCATTTATTTAAACTTTTAGATATTATTATTATTATCACAATTACTTTTATTATAATTACTTTTTTATTTTTTAAATGTTACCGAAGCTTATTTTATTGAGTTTATTAGATAGTACATGTACTTTAGATTTATTTTTCCTATGTATTAAATCTATCTAAATCTTATAATAAAGTTATTTGATGGATTTTTTTTTTAGAAATTTATCCCATGTAGCTTGTTTCTAACATGCCTAGTGTATTTTTTTACTCGATTATGATTGGTTAATGATTTTATCTGTTGTTTTTGAGAATATTAAAAAGTAATGGAAAACAAGAAGTAATATTATCTTTGACAAAAAAATTTTCTTTTAAATATTAGATCCATTAAGAATTACTCTTTATTATTATCTGCAGTTAGGTATTACCATTTAATTTTTGCTATTTTATATGGTAATCAAGAATCTTTGAGAAATTTATATTGTTTTTAAGTATAATTCAGAAAATTAGAATTAAATAAACTTGCATAAACTAATATAAGATTCAAAACACTATTAAAAATGATGATAAGTTATAATTTACATTAAAATTTGAGAATTAAAAATGCAAATTAAATTAAATCAAATCAATCAAATCATTAGAATTCCTACTTTCAAGATATAATTTTCTATTTTTTTTAAATATATTAGTTAATTAAAATATTATGCTATCTTCTTAAAATAATTATTATTTAAAAAAACCATTTACTAAATTAAAATAAAATTATTTTGTATATTTTAGAATTTTAAAAACATCAATATTATAAAAAGAATTATTTATTAAATTATCTTGTTTTAAATTAAATATTTATTATATCTTATATAATTACTTTTATAATAAGTATTATATATTAATCAAATAAATATTATATTACTATACTTTTATAAAATTATAATTTTAATACTTGTTTTCCCGCAAATCTCAAAATTCCTAAAAATTTCCTTTTTTAGTAATACACCCAAAACACCCAAAGAAACACTCAAAG